CTCGTCTCGCTGAATTGGAGGAGATCTCCTATGGGTCCTCTGTTGCACCCTACTACGGTCGCGGCCGCTACTAAGCGTTGGACATTACCCCAAGACCATCTTGATTTTTGATCATTTTTTTCAAAAGTCGTCTTGAGGTTTAGAGTGGTTGGCTCTTCTGAGAACTTGAGGCCTTTGGCACGATGGCCATATCTAAATTTTCGAAGACCCATGAATGGTCTTACTATTCTGCAGTATCTTCGTTGGTACAATCTCCATTGGGCTTGGACCTCTAAGTAGCAGCAACTGGTAGCATCTATGATGCACATAGATACCTAGTACTTTGCAACCGCAGAATAGATTTCATTAGTCAAACCTTGGGATGTGCTTTGTGACGACAACATTGTAGCAACAATCACTAAACAGACGCCAGATCACGAGAGCCACGGATGTTTCAAGTTCATTTGCAGTTCTATGACACTTTTCTTTTATTGATTCTAGTTAGATGCTGCTAACTGTCATGGAGAAGATGGATTCTCGGGCAGAGCTGGTAACGGTTTTCGCGAATTGGTTGGTTGCGCGATTGAGCGACGCAACACATTCGGCTGTGTGTCGTGGGAAGGGGGCGATAGATCAGACGATGAAGAAAAGCCTCCAGAAGATCTTGGCGTTGGAGGAGGTGAAAGCTGCTCGCATTCAACACGATCATGATGTATGTCGTCGGCAAAAGGCCCTCGATGTAGTTCAGTAGCACCATCGTCTCCTCTTGATGTCGGAGTATATTGGCCTCTCTGACGGGCTGCCAGTAACACTGCATCTTCTCCGTCGTATGCACTCCCATGCATGGCTCGAACGCGAGCCGCTGATGATGCACCATCGTAGGAAGCAAGACCGGCATGATCTGAAAAGGGGGCGAGGTGATGTAGTGGCACACCTCGGGAGAAGATGACGAGGATCAGACATGACATGAGCAACACGGCTTGTACTATGGCCATGCGTTTCTGAAAGACGACCTCGTCGGCCAGGAGGTTGAGACGAGCGCTGAGAGCAACTATCTCTCGGTTGGACTGCTCGCGCTGACTCTCCAGAGCCAGGACCGTTGACTGCCAGATCTGGTCGTACTGCTCACGAACGGAGCGCAGCTCGGCGAGGACGGTCTTGTTGAGGTTCTCGAGGAACAGTGTCGTTTTTGAAAGTTGCTTCTGCTCTGTGCGGTGCAGAGTCTCGGACATGTGGCGAGCTTGGTCCTCGACGTATTTGAGAGAGAGGGTAAGGTTGGTTTCGACGATTGTGAGTCGCTTGGATATGGACTTGAAGAATCCTTCTTGCACAGTGGGCGAGGCTGACGAGCCAGAGGCCGTTCCCGTGGAGCCTTTCTTGGCGTTAACAGTATTGGCGGGGGAGGGCTTCTGAGTCGATGGTGTCGATGAGGAAGAGGGCGTTGCGGTCGTTTTTGTACTTGCTGCCGAAGCGGTGGAGTTTGATGCAGATTCGATGTTGGAGGATGAGATGGAAGATGGGCTAGTTGGGGATACAGCTGGCGTGGCGCTTGGAGATACAGCGGTAGAATATGATGAGGCCGTGGGCTCTTCACTTGCAGGGTGCTCTGATCGGGGAGTGTGCGGTGTTGAAGTCCCTTTTCGTGCCCTCTCGTCAGGGGATTTGGTTGTGGGTACAGCGCTGGTGACTTCAACAGAGCTGCTGTGGTTTGAGATTGGTTGTGTAGTTTGATTGAGGGAGGCAGAGCAGAATAATGGCTCGAAAAGAAGTCGCGAAGTGGTGTTGACTTCACAGAACGGCATTAATCCCATCGAGCTCGGCTTGGCGGGCTCAGGAGGACTCTCAAGTTCTTGGGGCTTCGTCGACTCTTCTCCTGAAGGGAGGGCTTGAGGAGTCACTTCAGCCTCCTCAGCCTCATTTGCATCTTCGTCACGACCTTCGTTCCATGCTGCGAAGAAGCGCGAGCCATGGATTCGAAGCAATGACACTGGGCAGTAATATTGTTTTCCATAATGGGTGAGATAGTCGATCCGGACATACTTGGAGAAGATCTGAGCATTCTCGACCAAGAAGGGCTGAATAGCTCGTGAATTCTCCGCCTGAAAGACTCCGATCTGTTTCCACTCCTCCCTCTTGACTGGGTACCGGTCACTAACGCTGACAGTGAAAGTTTGGATCATACTAGAAAAGAACTCGAAGTTGGCGAGGACGACGGTATCGATGAGGACATCGTCGCTCAATTCGACAATAAACCACTTCTCCTTGGCACTACACTCGAAGAGTAGGTACGAGTCTTTATTCTCGACGAGAATTGCCTTTGCATTCCTTGCGCCGGGGCTCGTCTTGAGAATGGTGGCGCCGGCATCAAAGGACGAGTATGAGAACCGTTCCTTGCAAGTCTTGCCAGCATCTTTGTTCCTATGGATTGCAACACGGCCATCCTTTCCTGATCCCTCGTTCTTAGCTTGGTCGAGATCTGAAGGGCGCTCCTTTTGCTCCCCGGTGTCATCCATGTAGCTGCCAAAGTTCAGGGATATCTCATCTTCCTCGCCGAGGCCACCGTAGCCCATATCCGGGGGTGTCCTGTCGCGGGGCTTGGCGTTCCTGTGTAGGTCTTTAGGGTCCTGCCCTGTCTGTTTCAACATCATGGCCTTCCAGTCCTCGAAGGACATGAAGGGCTTTGCATCTCCATCTGCAGCGGCATCTTCCGGCTCTTCTTTGGCGGGAGTGGCGGTGGACGCTGACGGTTGGGGCTGGGATGGGGACTCGCTTTGTGTGTTCGGGGGTGGCGCATCGCTTTGTGCCGAGTCGGGGGAGGCGTCGGAAGTCGAATTGGCATCTGAAGGGGTTGCGCTCATAGAAGCGCTCGTCCAGGAGCTTGTGAGGCAAGCTTGGGGTAGCGTGTGGGTGATGTAGTTGATGGTTCGGGCATCGCAGGTCAAGTCGATTGGGTCAGGGATGGCATTGGGTTCGTGGGATTGGGCCTCGGTCTGGGCTTGTGTCCAGGCTGCGATGAGTGCCAGGGATCGTAGAAGGGCTGGGCCTAGCGAAGGCATCGTGACCTCGAGTGTTGGCGGCACATTGAAGCGTCGCTGAGGTCGAATTGCTGGAATTGACGTTGAATTATGGGGGTTGGGTTTGTGTCGTGTCGTTGATCAGCGTTGGACTAGACACGAAGTGGGTGTAGCGTACCCGTACCTTACCCCGTAGCCCAGGCTCGTTTAACCTCAGCGTGGCCCACTGACGTGGTCAGATGCTGATTGGTGCACCAACAGTAAAGTGTGTCTGTTGATTAGATCCAATTATTAGATCGAGGTAAAAATAGAAATTGGGCGTTGGTGACTTACACGGAAACACTCATTCATTGTCACCTCTATAATCCATGAAAGAATCGAAATTAGGGGCGTTCTTAAAGGCGTGACCTCGTTGTTGAGGCCGATGTTGTGAAACAGGCTGGATTGAGATCAGACGAAGTAGACATGAGAAGAGAGGTACCAAGCTGGTGGGCATTCAGCAATTATGAACTGTGTGTTTGTTAGTGTCAGGGTCTAAACTTCAGCCTAAGACGTACCAAAACCTTAGTAGAGCATACCTAATCAGCTACGGGTACCTGCGGATAATGTGATTCCTTTCACTCTATGGGTTCTGTGCTTCAGGAGAATGACCTCGAGGAATAGCAACAACTCCAGATGACTTGATTTCAGTGTGGTTTAAGGTTCAGTATAATTACAAAGAATAAGAAAAGTATATAGATTCTGTTCTTTAGTATTTGATGATTCCAAGCTAAGACGGTGACTCTCCTTAGGGTAAGTAAGATGGCGACGTGATATCGATGTAAATGCATTTGCTTGATCCCAACAAAGCAGTTTGCTTTAGAGCAACCTGATGGGTGAATAAATAGTTTACTTTATTTTAATACTGAATTCAATATATTTTGCTATATAAATTTCCCATCATTTGAGTCACAGTTTGCTGTTTGCACGGATGCCTACCTCTTATAGCAATATTTTATCAGCTACCCTTTGTGGCTGTCGACATTTAGTCTAACTTGCACCTTTCACCAAAATTCAGTTCGAGATTGAAAACACAGCACCGCTCAACACAATTGTAACCCGAATACTCTACTCGCTTGAATTACTGAGATCTTGCCTTTTACTGCCGTCTGCTTCACTGTGAGTAATGACAGGAGAGAATGAGTATGATTTACTGACCAAGTGCGCTATCAAAAAGGCTTCGTCTTTTCATATCTTCTACGTTCACGCGCGCGATTCGTTAGGTATCACGACTTGCCAGGAAAGACAAAGATGCCTACCTTTCTCTAGCAACAGACAGGCACCTTTCGGCTCATCCATATTCCACTTAAGGTAGAGCTATAGCGAAGCAATACTCGATAAGATGTTACATGAAGAATCAAAATCAAAATCAACATCAACAAAGACCACCCCACGAACCCCCCAACTAGTGGAATGCTCCAAGATCACGAGCTCAGATGCCTGCTTTCCAACCAATTCAGACTTGTTATTGATCGAGGTTGACAATTATGATAGTTGTACATGCGAGCTGAGAATTTCAATTTTCGCGATTCACAGACCCCAAACACTTACCGACGACGATGGACACCTTACTCAACATGGGCTGATCTGAGCCACGCCGCAGTGTTGCTTGTGACAATTTGGCCTGCCAAGAACAAAAATACCGAAATCAATTTTATCCCTCTTTCTAGGTTAAAATGGCCATGAGGCCTCGATGAGAGACTCCAAGCCAATTGAGAAATAGGAATTGGCTTGGAAGCATGCCTAAATAAAACATCCCTGGCCAAACCCAACAGCCAACTGACCATCATCTGATCTTCTACAGCGGCGTTTCATTAGCATGGGATTGCCAAGAAGGCTCAACCCTCGTGAAATCGCGCCTTTGCCGCAACCTAAGCTCACAAAGGACAGCAATGCGATGACCGGGCGAGAACCCCCCTGGTTTAAAAAGCTTGGCATACACGATATGTCCATGCTAAAAAGAAGCCACGATCCCGTCGATCTTCAGCCTTATTTGCCAGCTCCTTATGCACGCCCATGACTCACTATGGGTCCTCAAGAGTTCGAACTCAGGTCGGTGGTTACTCTCACCAATGATCCAGATGGTGAGCCTCGTCGACCATGGCAATCTTCGGGCTTAGCAAAGGATAAGCAAGTTGTTCGCTATCACAAACGCTCATTATGGATCTTTGGGTTCTATCTCCTTATTCTCGTCCTACCGTGGATGTTTACCTGTTTTCTGATGATCAGGCCAATCAACAAGGAATCATATTTCAACCAGGCGGGATCAATAACCCCCGGAGACGTGGATAATTGGCACAGATCGCGCGTTGCTCTCAGCTCTCTCACTGCAATCTCAAGTGTTATTGGACTCCCAATAGTTTCTGGCCTCCTTGCCCATGGAGCGGTTGTCTATACCCAGCTTCGAAACCCAGGTCAGAAATTGAGCGTCTTGCAGCTATTTGCGCTGGCAGATAGAGAATGGCTAGACCCTCGATATCTGTTCAAACCTCCAAGCAAGTTTAAGAGCACGGAAAGATCACTTTACCTTTGGCTGGCGACTTTTCTCATTCTGATCAGTAAGCCCAAGAATATTACACCTGATCCTACACCTTATACCCCCCATGCTGACCTTTTCTGAACAGCCGCTATCCAACCACCTATACAAACCATCCTAGTCCGAGACGAAAGGATTGACGTTGTGACGTGCAAAGGGCATCCCGCGAGACACAAAGATCACTATTCGGGAGCTTGCAAATATCCTTTCAAGGATCTGGATACCCAGGTCATTGCGCGGGACGCGGAGCCCATCGATCTGAACTTCTGCCCACAAGACGTTGTCGTCAAGAAGACCAGCCAGAAGCTACTCAGCTCCGCTAACAACGATATCCAAACCAACTTGTGGTCTGATGAGGCTTTGCTTGGAGAAAACCCAAACTATTACATGGACAATAGGCGGACTCTTGACTGGTACTACCAGAGGTTGTCATACGATAAAAGCAAACGGTTATATTACGCGTCATCCGTCGCCAATGGTACCGGCACTGGGGTTTATCGGCATCATGCAGTCAGGATGGACTCCGCAGCAGAGTGTTACTTAACCAAAAACTTCCCGAAAGAGTGCGAAGGAGGCAAACCATTCACACCATCTTTCTCCGAGGGCTGGCTGAATGTCAGCATTTGTGCCGAAGGAAGTTATGACACTGTGGCTTGGAACACAAGTCGAGACAAACAAGAACATAACGAGACTTTGTGGTTGTCTATGAAATGGGATATTCCTGAAGGTGAAGACACGTCCGGACTTTTTCGCAACAATGATAGCTACGTCCTGAGATGCGACAGCGTTTCAAGAAGAGGATGGTTTCAGCTCCCGAACGACGCAAACGGTGGGAAGCCTGGGCCCTTACGTGACGAGTGGCCTTCGTGGCGAGAACTCAAGTACGAGTTCAACGATTATTATATCAATAGCCCTCAGTGGGATCGCAAATTTCCAGCTGACAGGTATCCAGCAGCAGAGTATGATTCCGATCCAGCTGCAATATCCCCTTTTGCGTCCCTGGCTAACCACTTGTCACTGACTAGAATCCCGGACGAAGAACTGCAAAAGTATCGCGATCAATTGAGCTACACCTACCAGGGACCCTCTGTGCCTGGCCCACTCATGACGGTGGCTCTGGCTATGTTTGGAAATTCGTCATTCTTTCAAGCAGCCAGGGTTGCTGATCGTGACACTTACAACCAGACCATCAACAACATCTGCGAGAACTCGTTGTTTCCAATGCTTGGAATGATGCCACGCAATTATGATATGGGCGGGTGCAGCCGTTCTGTAAGAAATCGGAACAAAACTCCGAAAATGCAGGATGTGGTTTACAATTACTTCAACGGCCTCAAGAATGAAGAGGCCACCGCACAAGCACTCGAAAAGGCCATGTTCTTTGCGAACGAAGCCCTTCTCACCACCGCCGCCTCGCTATCACAGAACCGCCCAATTTTCTATAACCCGGGAACTGCAGTCATGAAGCCAAAGAAGGATTTAGCAGCGGTGATAACTGTCACTACACTAATAGGTCTTCAAGTTGTGGCACTTTGTGCGCTGATGTGGTTCATCCTACGTGCCCCTACGTGGACGGAGACTCTTGATGCGGATGCCCTGGCGCAGATTGGAGGTCAGCTGAAGGAATGGGGAGAGCCCAGGCCCGACCTGACGCAGATAAATGGTATTGTGGGAGTTGATGAGACTCGACATCAGGCCAAGACGTCATCGGTGAGACTGTCGACGGGGCAAGATGCTGCTTCCCATTCAGGGTCTATACATTTGACACTTGGCGGGGAGGGATTGATCAACAGAAGTGTGATGGAGAGGATGCAAGCAGATACAACTACTGCGGTCCAAGCGTAATGAATCTGTTTGGCAAGCAAGTTCGAAGCAATCCTGATGTCGGGACCCCTTTTCAAAAACTCTACCTTGATCTTAATGCCAGTCGATTTAATAATATCACCAGGACATAATGCTTAGTTTGCGTTCAAGAAAGCCAATACGCCCAGCCCCTCCGGAGCTTTGCGTAGCATCTAATGAGAATAATCACCAGAGCGGGAGGGCAGATACTGAAGTCAAGAAATTGAAGGGGAAGCACTTGGTTTGGAACTTGAACCCTGGGTCAAAGGATCTAGAGGTCGAGAAGATGCGGATTTACCTCGTCTGATGTCTCGCTGTTCTCCCAAAGTAGATATAATGAGGAGAGTACCGCCCTGTCCTCGAAGCACAATGAACTTGTCTCTTGAAATTTAAGAGGATAATTCCTGGTCGCAGAGTTTGATCGAAAAGGGGTTGCCTTACTCGGGTTTTATATTGAGAGTCCGATTATGACTCTTTGCTTTTGGAAGCTGGAGGCTTAGTAAGGGTCTCGTCGTGTAGCTGGGATGCCGGAGGTGCTCTTTATGAACCTAACAGGAAGAACAACACGTCAGTCATGTAGCGAGATAACGAGGAACAGGGCATGTCAAGATACCACCCTCGGGTGTCGTATGCTGTACTCCGCTCTCTTTCCTGTTCGGCGTTGACAAGCCATCCCAGATCTCGCAGGCGCTGAGGTGTTCATAATGAGAAGACCCGAAATCGAAATAAGAAGTTGGGAGCCTCTGGATAGTTTGTCATCAAAGAAACTTAGTTGAGGGAACACAAACCTTCCAATTAACTAGTCAGGACTGGTCATTGGAATCTCCCAACCGACAGGTTGAAGAAGCACCTCCCGCTCTTATTGGTTAATGGCAGTTAGTGGCTTAGTCGTGCATAAGTTATTTATTTTCCGATATGACGGCCATGAATTGATTCATTCATCCGCTGCGCAGTTCCTGAGATGGGATGGCTGGGGTCCTTGGCATCGTCGCTAAGGCACCGCTTTGATTTTCAGCCGAGAAGAAAGGAGCTTGAAGCTCTCTTGGAGACTCGGAGAGATCTCCCGGCCGATTGCTGGAGCTTAGGCGAGCGGTGATGGCCTGCAGTGCTGGGAACGAAAGAGGAGTGCGATATCGCTGACGAGTTCGGACGAATCGAGCACTTCAAAACATGGCAGATTTGATATCAACACCAAACGAGTAACATGCAAAGTTTCGCAGCAGAAACCGTGAGAGATATTTCAAAAGATCAACTGGACTCTTGCCAAGGAGGAGCAATTGACTGGAATCCCGCATGTGATAGCTGCCGTAACAAGTGAGTCAAGCCGTTCATCTCGTTTTGCTTCAGACACTTACATAAATCAACAATCCAGGTCATCCATATGGCCCAGTCATGCAGCGACATGGCTGCGCAGCTTCACTCGCTCAAGATTTACCCCGGAGGAAGATGAATCTGCTGCGTAGAATTCTTCCCCATTACTGCGGAGAAACTCTTGACCCGGCCATCATTTGTCTTGTTCTTCGAAAGTCAACCCAAGCCCGAGGAGACACGAAGTTCTCCACCTTGCGATACTTGCCAAGAAAGGATATTCATTTGCCCCCGGTCAATATTCAAGCCTGTCATATTCTCGATTGTAACGCAAACGAGATGTCTGCAAGGCTCTCGGTACCCTGAGGCGGGTTACCTGAAGCACTATGGCCTGGGTATTTCGATATTCTTCCTCGGACGGATGCCAAGTTGTCCAGTGCAAGTACACAACTTTCGACGAGCGTCTTACAGCCGAGATCTCACTCGAGCTGGACATGAATTGGACATATTATCAGACGAAGAACGAACCCTGGGAGACGCAGCGAACCTCCTGGAAAAGAACCAGTTTCTCAAGTCGCTCTCGATTCATACGTCACTCCAAACCTTGATCGGCTGCAACAGCTTTGTAGAACTCTTGAGATTCAAAAGACCTCAATGTGCCTTGATATCAACGGCTGCTTACCCTATGGCAATTTCACTACTCTAGCCCAACTTTTCGATAGTTCCTCTGAGCAGTCCCGACTCGCCATCTGGTTCTCTCATTCGCTGAAGTCGAAAGTCAAGGATCGGCAATGAAAATTCAATTTCCCGTCATCCGTTCGACTATGGAGCGACAAAGTTGTTCTGAATGCGTTTCAGGAAATTATAGCCAATGAACAACTTTGAATCTTTCGGTGATGGCTCTTCCGTCACAAACCTGAGACGTTTGTTCATCTAGCCGTGTTAATGCCTGCTGACTGATTGACAGGTTGAGACGCCAACCATGGACGCTCTGACAGGGCATGCGCCAGACCCCTGTCGATCGAAGAAGCATAAACCCAACCTTAACTTTTTGGAGAGAAAAGTCTCCAGTTCAAAGTCAAGATCTGAAACTCAGCCTTGGACTTTATCAGATGTCTCTTATAGTTCCATCGGCTCCGCTTGTTCTGTCCTCTGAAGCTCTGACACTTGATCCCTGCAAGACCTGAACGGATGAAAAGGAGCCCAGCTTGGCGTTCCAACTTCCGAGGACATGTTGCATTCTACCACGCCAGATCGATATTATGAGACATTTCATTACGCTTTCGTATGGTATCGTCATAGGGCTAGCTCCGGCCTCTGGTGTTGCCGGTGACAAGGAGCCCTTCATGGCGGTTTTGGCATTCTCAGCCAGCACGGCTCTGGGGATGAAATGCATCCGATCAAGAAACAACGTTGAATCTGAGCTGACAATGTTTGTAAGAAGTCTATCTATAAAGATGGGGACGGAATCCCGCTGAAATAATTCGATTCTTCATCTCACAATCAACATCCAGTCCATCCTTCCAAACACCAGTCATTTCCTAGAGAGGTGAGCCTTGAACACTATTCTCGACTAAACACCAAGTTTACTAACGCTGAACTCTCTAGCTGTGCTCTTGTCGGCTTTCATTCCTTCCACCGTTTCGCCTTTAGAGCTGTGCTCAAAACATTCATATACCCATTTGATATTTACTGTCCAACTCCACACCTCACTCACTCACTCAACAACAACAACAACAACAACACACAACCAAAACCATCTTCTTAATCCTTTCAAGATGAAGTTCTCAGCTTTCTTTGTTATCGCCTCTGCTGCGTTTGCTGTCGCCGCCCCCGGTGTTGCCACTTTCTCTCAAGAGCGCGCTGCTCTCAACGAGAGTGCCCCCAGCCGCGACCGTGAGGAGGGCCGTGCTGATCTGCGCGAGCCTGAGCGAGAGGAGGGCCGTGAAGGTGGGCGCGAGGATGACCGAGAGGACCGTGCTGGCCGTGGTCGCCAGGATGGTCGTCTCAACCGTGGCGGCCTTGCCTTTAGCCAGGTTGACCTCAACTACCTTCTCCGGGTCAACCAGCTCAACCTTGGCAAGCTCCAGGTCCTCAGCCAGCGAAACAACTTCAACGTCGTCGTCTTCCAAGATCTCTTCGCCTCTCGGGACTTCAGCCTCCAATCTCTTCTCCAGCTCCAGCAACTCTCCACCATGCTTGCTATCGCCGAGACTGGTATCTTTGACCAGTTTGAGCTGTCTCGATTGGACCTTGGCAACCTGAACCTTGGACTCATCAACGGCATTGCTGGCCTTAATCTGGCCCAGTTCATTGATGCTGCTCTGAAACCCCAGATCACTATTATTTCTAAAGAGGGTAAGTGAACAAATCGAATTAATAGTTTTTATCAAGTGCTAACTCTTCAATAGTTAACAACAACATCATCATTGCCAAGTAAGGATGCGGGGAGTTAACTTGATGAGGGGGCAGGTACTCCTGAATACGGGGAGGCTTCGGGTCAAGCCATACCCTTCATGTGTAATGAACTATCATCTTCAGGAACGGATCAGGACTGGACTCGCTTTCTCATGGTCACTGGATGGCTTGAAGGCGAGGGTTACTATATAATGAATGAATCTAATATTTCAATGATTTATCGTGAGACTTTACATCACTAGGGTGATCAGTAAACCTTTTATGCTACACATCTCCTTTCCAATTCATCTGAACCAGTTGTACTACTCGAATGGTGGTGTAGCTCTCCTTCCATTTAACTCCTCGGAGGAACTCTGCGTCTCCCAGCTTGGTTCACTTCCTTGTTCCGTCTTTTGCTGAACATTGCCTAAAGGGATCTCTGAGATAGATGCGTTGTGCTTCGGATCGGTCCCACTACCGCTCTTTATGTATCCGACAGCACTTCGCATAGGATACTTGTCCTTGATAAGTCGGAGGAGTGGCCTCAGAGTTGGGACACTTGCTGCCATGATGACAATGTTCTGCTCAATTCTTCTTCACGTCAGCTCGAGTCATCTTTAGACGCGGAGAATATACTTACAAGCCCCAGACGATCAAAGTTACAACGTTATACACTAGAGTGGTCAGTTTGACGCCCAAAATAGAGTGACACTCTGTGCCTACAAGGGTCTGTTCTGTCGTTGAATGTATCCAAGTATGTAGCTTTGATGATGGTGAAAATCGCAGAGAGAAATGTCAGTCCCAACATGAAAGTGATCTCCAATTTCTCCTGCACCTTGAGTTGCAGCTTCCAGAAAGCGTGTATAGGGACAATCGCAAGGACGAGGTCGGTAAAGACAGTGAAGCCGCTGACGGCATAGGACGTGTAGTTGAAGACATGCGGACTCCAGCATTCTCCTTGCGCTGACTGATCCCACAGCATCTTGGTCGGTCGACACTGAACGAAGGTGATGATTACTGATGCTAGAGCCAGCATGATCTGGATGGCAACGACAACGCGGAGGAATCGACGGGAGATGGTTTTCGTTTTACCGACGAGTCGTTCGATGAGGATTAGAATGACTGCGTTGGGAAGACTGTAGGCCATGATATTAAAGGCTAGACATATATGAGCAATAATGCTGGTAACTGGGAAGTATTGCACTTACGATAGCCGACCACCTGAAGGATCTTTGTCTTGACCATCCTCTGAGTTCCTCCAGGTTCTGAAGCAACGGCTGCTGTGTGACGCCCCAAGCCAAGATCCGCCGAGGTTTGCACCAGGGAAGACGCAGCAATGCTGCCAACCAAAGAGAAGACAATCATTAGGTCGTCCCAGTCTGGTCTGCGAAACATAAGGACTGTTGTAAAGAGCTTGGTCATGGCGGTGATGATGGCCATTCCAGTGAATATCCATGCTATCAGGCAGAGTTTTGTCTGTTTCGAATCGGTAGAAACATGACTTGAATCCATCAAAAGGGCGACAAAACTATGAATTGCATATAGTCACTAGAATTAGATAAGGGACAAATAAATTTAATCGAAAAGCAATTGCTAATGTAGTCTTAACACCCAATTTTGGGGTTTCTTTCCACGGATATTTTGTTACTCCTTTTATGACCTGACCTTGCAAAAAGGCCTATAATTGTCAAACCAACAGTCCAACAAAAGGAAATCCAAGTATGAAGAGATATAATGCACCAACAGACAAACACGTTGAAGGTTGTTGGTTGCAAAGAAAACCCCTGCAGTTGGAGATATCGTTCCGGATAATGTCGAGTTGATCTACCGGGAACAATACATTGTGTTGGCTCTAACAGCCAACAACATGCGCATATTAGTCACCTAGATGTTGTTTGTTGGTTCTTGGCTGCACCAACAGCCAAGAACATTAGAGATCTGATGCCATCACTGCATTTCTCGGCTTACACTCTGTCAGTTAGAAACAGTCTTCGAACCTGGAGCATTTCAGATTACATTTGAAGCCTTTCAGCGCCAGACAAAGCGGTGCCATGGCGTGGTTTTGGGTCAAACACTGGTCTTCTGCAGATGAACAAACAGGGGTTAAACATGTTGCTTCCAGGATACATATCGCATTCCACAGACTTGTCTGCCACAACTGGTTTATCGTTCCACTTTTTATCTCCTCTAGTAGCAGGTCATATGCAAACGCACCGTGAGTCTGTAGCTTGCCAAGGCGGCGCAAGAAAACTTAGGACCTGTATCCTAAGTGATAAAAAGAATTAGGTAAATTTAGTGTAATTTAGTAAATATTTAGTGGACCTTGGATTAGAAGTTTTCTTGCTCCCCGGGGCTTGCAGACGAAGCGTAGGGATAGAGCCCCCGAGTGATTAAAAGATCCTTGGATCGCCCATCCAACAAGGTTAACCCCCCCAAGGTCACTCTGTTCTCCTTTCCCTGCTACCAAAACATGGAAATGGCACCCTCGGACATCATCAAACGCATGCAGGATGCAGCTGTCTCATATGACAAACAAGAACTTGGGGCCAGAGAGACTCTGCTCGACCTCAACCGCCAACTTCTCGCCGAGTTGGAAACTCCAACTGATTTTATACAGCGCATCTGGTTTGCTACTGTAAGAAGCTATTTATCCACTGGTACTATGTTTCTGACTCGTACAGGCTTCTCTGGGTGGTTGACTTGAAGTTGCAGCCAACAGGAAAATATTTCAACTTCTGCAAGGAGCGGAGAATGGACTCACTACTCAAGCACTATTTGAGAAGACCGGCATTGCTGGGCCCTTGCTTGAGCGTTTCATGAGACATTTTGTCGCTCACAAAGTTGTCAGTTTCTCCAAGTCTACAGGCTGGCACCCCACAGCCCTTTCCAACACCCTCGCACAGGAGAATTACCAGCATAGCATATCATTCTGTCAACGGGCTGCAGCAAAGTCTTTCTGTCGCTTCCCGGATCACTTTAAGCAGGCCAACTATCAGCATCCCGGTCTAACAGATGGCCCTTACCAATATGCTCATAACTCGTCCTTGCCTTTCTTCGACTGGCTGGCAGCAAATCCCCCTTTTGTCAACTTATTTGGATCTTTCATGTCTGTGTATAGAGCTGGAAACACAGACTGGTGGACTTTCTACCCTGTTGAAGAACGTCTATCCTCTGGCTTTGACACGAATATCAGTGATGTGTTTCTCGTTGACGTTGGAGGCGGCTGTGGCCATGACTTGTTATCTTTCTCAAATAGCATCAAACCACCAGGCCGTTTGATACTCCAGGATCTTCCAGAAGTCATAGCAGATGTGGCCGACAAATCAGTCTTTGAGACTCAAAAACACGATTTCTTCACTCCCCAACAAGTTCAACACGCACGAGCATACTTCTTGCACTCTATTCTCCACGACTGGAGTGTCGAGCATGGAGTGCAGATCCTGAAGAACCTGAAGCCTGCACTGAAACCTGGATATTCCAAAGTTCTCATCAACGAGATAGTCTTGTCCGAGGAGAACCCTTCCGTGCCTGCTACGAGTATGGATATGATGATGCTGGGGCACATCGGTGAGGCTTGTGAGCGTACTGAAGAGACTTTCAGAGCGATTGTGGCAGAGGCAGGGCTTGAGGTTGTTGGTGTTTACTCCAATGCTGCTTCTCCGGAGAGTGTCATTGAAGTCATGCTACCTTGTTCTGACAGTGCACTGGAAGAGAGCAAACTGTAAGAACTCATATCACGTATCGAGTTTCTTCAGTGTTTCAGTGTCTAAGTTGGTTTGATTTTTGACAGCTTCGACAGGATAGAACTGAGATCTAAACCTCTGCCTCACAATGCTTCTTTTCTCAATTTTGATGTCACCAAGAGACATAGACACAAATCTATGTCAAAATGTTCCTCAGAAATGGCTAATTAAGTTCTTTGAAATACAGGGTCGGCCAACAAGTAAGGAAAATGAATGTAGAGCAATTGCACAGTTGATGAGCCAATGGCACGATATTCAGGTCGATGTCAAACAAAGACTACTCGACCTATCATAGGCTCAATGAAGACCTGGAAACACAAAGCATACATAACCAACCTGGCTCGGGAACCTCGGATAGTCGAATGACTTACGACGCTTTTGTTAATAAGCGCAGTGATAGCATAATCGTTGACTCCGAGTTGTCCGTTAAGCGAAAGATAGAGTTTGCAACGGCGTTGAAAAACTATACGGATATACTATCCACCAAGCAGAAAACAGTATTTCGACTAGGATATCCCAGCATAGCGTCTTTCTAAATGAAATTACTATGCTCCCTGGTTTAGAGTTTCTAATAACAGCCGTGCTCTCCGGCAGTTGAGTATTGACTGGGATTTGTTAGCCTATCTCGTATCACAGCTTAGACCACCAATTAGAATATATAATGCCTCTGCAGCCCCTGAGCTATGGTCGAGGAAACCAGCAATCGATTCAAAATGTTGTTCAAACAATTGCTCGCTTTCGGAGCTCTCGCCAACGGTCTGGCTACCCGTCAGGAGAAGCCAATCTGGCTGACACTCCCACCCACGCCAGACCTGCCAGCACCTATCACCCACAGAACAACTCCCATCAACAATGTTTCTCTCTGGATGCAAGAGTACAACAAGAAAGCAGATGCTATCCCTATTGTTATGGATCATGGCGGTCTAGGCTACTCTGCATACTTTGGATCCGTCATCTCCCGTCTTATCAAAGATGGATACTATGTCATCGCTGTTGATCGTCGCGGCCACGGTCGTTCAACTTTCAACAAGAACGATGTCTTTACTTATGAGGGATTTGCTCAAGATACGAATGATCTGCTGAAGAGTCATGGTATTTCCGAGTACAACGTAGTTGGCTGGTCCGATGGTGCCATCACAACTCTCGCTGCACTCATCGACCCTGTCATGTCAGAGCCTATCAAGAAGGCCTTTATCTTTGGAGGATCAGCCAACCCCGAGCAGACCAACGCCACATTCTCAAGCACAGACATCTTCTCAGAGTTTGTCTCTCGCTGCCGTACTGAGTACGGTGAACTACAGCCTCACGCCAACTTCACCCTCTTCGGCACCAAAGTTGCCACTATGGAGGCTACACTTCCCCAGTTCACGGATGAGCAGCTTGGATCTATCGATGGACCGAGGGTTATTATTGTTGGGGCTGAGCATGAGGAGGCTGTGAACAGGGATGTACCGGAGAAGTTGCACAAGGCTATCAAGGGTAGTCACATCGAGATTTTGACTGGAGTGAGTCACTTTGCGCCGCTTCAGGATCCTGATCAGTTCACGAAGGCTGTTGAGGAGTGGTTTGAAGCACCAATCCCTTGATTCTAAAGGTCAGTTACGCTGCAGGAGTAGTTTAGAAACAGAAAACCCGTGGGAGCAGACTTCTCTCTTCATATATATATATGTTCACGATAGTAGCTCCTATTACATAGCAATATGAAAACTGCCTCGTTGTGATCGAGCTGTTGGTATTTAGATATGCAAATATTGACCAAAGGAGAGCCAAGTCAACTTCCATGTCAGGAAGATGAATCCTTGACTATATCCTTGAATTTCTCTGACGCTTACGATGATTCTGCCAACAGAGCTACGATTTAAGGGAGGATCAGACTGGGAACAATCGCAAATCTTCAAGGTTGGAGGGAAGTACAAGGCCGTTTTATTTGGGACACCAGAGATTGGTTTACCACCGTTTTTCTCTTTCTATTTTCTATTTCCTATATATAGGGACTTTGCTGACTTTACGTAAGACCACGTTTGTCAAGTTAATGTTTCTGGCAGTTGCGTTACCAAACCAACTTGTGGTTCAGTTTCAGGAGAGAGCTTCAGGTGAATGGCACAATATTGACATACCCAGCAATATCATACTTACTCAAACAAGGCACCTAACCTCGAAATGCGAAGGAGTTCAAAGATTGAACCACATAGCAGATAGGTTATACCACCCAAATACGACACAGGCAATACCCCAAAAACTCTCTACAATCATCAACACCTCAGCAAGGAAGAAATACACCACCACGTAGGCACACCACCCAGCCAGTGATCCGGGAAAGTGGCCGTTTGTAACGACCAAACTATGGAGAGCGACTGCGAGCTTGGCAAGCCAAAGACCGAGATAAATGTCCCATCGGCGGTTGCGTCTGTGCACATCATACCATGCTCGGATGTTGGCATTGTGACGGTGGGCGTTTTCAACATCGTCGTCAGTGCGTTGGAAGTCTTCAGGTTTCTGGAAGATATGCTCTGGGGGCGCTGTGCCGACGATTTTGACAAAGATAAAGAGGAGGGCCGTGAATTTGATTAAGGAAGTCATGGTGATTGTTGGTAGATAAAGGTGTTTCTTTGTTGAGCGGAGATTGCTGTTGAGTGTGTTGAGTGTCGAGGTAAGATTGCTGAGATGGAATGTCTTGAGGAGAAAAGGCCAAGTCAACAGGAGGGTTGACGCCTATTTATTGCCTGAATTCCCTCTCATCGAGTGAGCACTCCAAGTGCATAGTAGTGTGAACGAACCGCAGAGCAAGTGTTCTGAGAAGGATATTTTCTGTAATACTGGCATTGTTCATATAAAGCGTCGTTGTTCTTTCACCATGATTACTCTGTGAGTTCAGGAAACGACCAGCTCTGGTCTGAGTTGCGAACACTCGTTGTGCTTCGTGAACTAAGGTCATGACACAGAGACTGCCATGATGATAAAAGCAATTCTGCGAACACGGAATGATCCGCACGTTGTGATCGTGAATTTTGATCTCATGATACATTAAATCTACATACGAGGTATTCTCAACTCAATCATACAAGCCGTCATTGCAAAGCTGATATCCATTCCCAACCTCTTCGCCAAAACACCCGTCCTCATTACATCAGACCAACACACTATCCGTTTTAACCAACAACAGCAGTCTGCCGTCTCGCTTGGCTGTTACTGCCGGCCTTCTTCTGAGTACCAGGTCGTGCGAGCGTGTACTTGGCGAACGCCCTCGCGAGAGCCTTCTTGCAACTAACTTTCTGGCTGCCCACGAAGCTGTCCACTGTGACGGCGATGGCGCGGTCGATGTCTTGTGATGAGCAGTATTCTGAGAGGCGCATGCGGCAGAAAGCTTCGCTGATGCGGATGATGGCTTCAAGATGTCGCACCTGAGTTTAGTTAGTATGAGATGTCGCGGAGTTCATGATGTAGGATTAACTTACTGTGATGGGGTAGGCACCAGTGGCAAGAGACTCTCGTCGCATGTCGGCAAAGAGTCGTGCAATCTTGTCCTCATCGACGTGATAGAGCTTCGGTGAGCAGTGTTCCCGAGCATAGAGGATATACTTCCTTAGTAGCTCTTGAGGGATCTCACCCTCAGCCTTGCGACCACCATTCGTGGCTTGTGTCTCAGCTTGTGTATCATGTTCAACCTCCATCGAGTCCTGCTCAGCTTGGCTGAGAGGATGACTTCGGCTATGTGATCCGACGATGAATCGGGCCAGACGCTCATCCTCTTCGGGTTCAACTGTGTCTCGTACTACACACAGGATATCAAAACGGGACAAGATAGGCTCTGTCAACTCGACATTGGCAGAGAAAGGAGCGGTGGAGTTGTATCGCCCACCGATGGGATTGGCAGCAGCAATGACACCGCATCGAGCTTGTAGCGTGGTGACAATACCGGCCTTGGAGATAGAGATGGTCTGCTGTTCCATGGCTTCGTGGATAGATGTTCGATCTTGGTCGTTCATCTTGTCGAACTCGTCAATGAGGCAGGTTCCACGATCAGCCAACACCAGAGCACCACCTTCCAACGTCCATTCACTGGTGAGAGGATCTCTTCGGACACTGGCCGTCAAACCAACAGCACTGGCACCTTGACCTGTAGCAAACACAGCTCGGTGGGCTGTCTTCTCGGCATACTTGAGGACTTGGGACTTGGCAGTACCAGGATCACCGAGGAGGAGCACATTGATATCACCTCGAAGGTGATGAGCACCCTTGGTTACTTTGGCAACACCGCCGAAAAGCGACAGAGCCACGGCGGTCTTGATGTCAGTATGTCCATAGATACTAGGCGCTATTGAGCTGATGATCTTGTCCACGATGTTGGGGTCGCGAGACAACTTGCGGATTGTGTGCTCATCCTCCTCAGTCATTCGGAAACCAGCCAGCTGGTCATGAGACTTGACAACGTTGTTTGCTTCAAGGATGGTAGCAAACACAGGGAAGCCATTGCGGTTGTTGAGCTGAGCATCATAGTTGTTGCGGTAGATTCCAGTCACTTCAATCTCCTCGCCGGGCTTCGCCTTGTCAATGAGATCCCAGAGAAGGATAACCTCGCGCGATCGTGGCAATCGACCGGCAGGTACTGTTCCAGGAGATTCTTGGAGAGTGAGTTTCTGGTAGTTTCGGTAGACGGTCTTCTCCGAGTTGAGAGTGAAGGGACCTCGCGACTGGCAGCTCTGACAGAATGTGATCTTGACTTCGACGTTTGACTCTTGCTGGAAAGGTCCAAGAGTCACACCGCACTTGCTGCAGTCGAACTTGACGTACTTGAGCTGAGGGAAGACACCCGATCGTCGGGTAACGACACCGCTGACTCGAACAAGACAGTTGAGATGAGACTGGCGGAGTTGTCGTAGTGTGTAGTGCACAGGCAGATCAAAGATACGAACGTGAATCTCGGCGTGAATGCGCTCGTAATCGGGGTAGTGAAGCAGAACAACGTCCATGGCAACCTCGTCGAACAACTTGATCATCTCTTGAGGCGCATTGGCCAAGAAGTAAGCCAGAATGGCCTTGCTTTCAGAGAGGTGTTCGTATGAGACCTCAAGAGACTCGGCGTTGATCTCACCGAGTGTTCGGATTCGGTTGCCGTACACGGATGAGCCAGAGCTATCGGTGTAGGATGTGAGGAAAGCCTTGAACTCGCGTCTGATGGTTCGCTGAACTGAGGGTTGCGACACCCACTCGGTGAGGTTGGAAGCCTTGACATCAGCAAGCGCTTCCAGCGAGAGTTCCTCGGCCATGATATCGGTGTCCATGAGGTCGTCGGGATCTTCATCGTAATGGTGACGGCGACGTCGGGGCTGAGCTGTGAGATCAATGTCGCCATCGTCTTCATCTCCATCAAGGTAAATATTAGGGATTTCCCGTCTGACTGCCTGATCTCTTCGGTTGAGCTGAGCTTCTAGCCGACGTCGGTCGGCGAGGTTCATCTCGTCATAATCCCCCTCATCGTCAATGCCAATGCCCTCGTACATGTCATTCTCCCGTTCTTGGTAATCGGCCTCGTAGCCTTCACGGAACAGATCAACGTCGTCTTCTGCCATTTCGTCGAGCTCGTCGATATCGTCTTGGATCTGGGCCTCTTCCTCGATGTCATCGTCATCCTCAACACCATGTGCCATGTTGAACTCGGCAGGGGGCGAAGAAGGCATAGGGCTTGAGCCGAAGCCTGCTGGTGAAGGGCCATCGCTTCCTCCTGTTCGCGATCGCTTTCTATTCGGACGAGCCGAAGAAGGGTGTAGCGGGGAACTTCAAGTGGTTGTTAGCTAATTTCTTTCGTTTAAATGGTGTAAACGCCCTGGGGAGACAAACCTCATGATTGCAACTCTTCAAAGATATCTAGATTTTGTGATATCGTGATAGAGTATCTGAGCAATTCCGAAGACCAAAAGTTTGGTTTGAACTGAAAGTGTCAAGATTGAGGGGCTCAATTTGTGGTGATGGTTGGAAGGGAAACGACAGCATGAAAGTGGGTGCGGTTGACAAGGGGTAATTTCGCGTATCAAGGCGCGACTTGACGCGTTAATTGATTGGTACTGACGTGCCACGCGTAAAGTGGTTTCCTCAGAGCGACATAATTACTCGACCTGAACCTCACGATACACGTCCCTACGAATGCCCGCGTTATTATAGCACCTTACAAGCTTCGCAACCTCCAACTCGAGCTGTAAGGTACTGTCGCACTGTCGATACCTTAGCTGACCCTTCTCCTCAGCTTGTACTTGTACAAGTATCAAACCTTGCATCACCATCAATTCTGACAAATCTATCATCCGATCCTTTAATTCTCATCTTTCATCTGTTTCTTTCTTTTCCACATTTATCTTGAATACTCGAGAACTTACGATTTAATCGATCGCAGTCATGTCTGCAGACGCTCCCTCGGCCTCTGCGCCCGCACAAGATGCGCCTCAACAACGATCTCGAGAACGCAAGGATAGCTTTTCTGGAAAATCGCAAACTTCGGAGACATCGCAAACAGCTGCTGAGTAGGACACCAATTCCTCTGAACCCGTGATAGCTCTCTAACACCAACCAGGTTTATTCGATCTCAGGAAGCTCTTGAAGCTGATGCCCGCGAGGCACTGCCTTACGTATGTTTCCACTCCTCTCCCAATCGCGACATGCGCTTACGACTCTGTAGAGCATTGATACATGCACCAAGATCCTCGGCCCTCTGCGACAAGCTGTCTTTGCTTGCTTGACTTGCAACCCACCACCGGCGAAAGAAGGCGACGACTGGATCCCCGCAGGTGTCTGCTATGCTTGTTCCATCCAATGTCACGGCGAACACACCCTTGTCGAGATCTTCCAGAAGCGTAACTTCACATGCGACTGCGGTACCAAGCGCATCCCATCAACGAGCCCATGTACTCTTCGATTGAACGAAGCCACTAACACTCGAGGTGGGGTTCACTCCGAGGAGCCCGATGTGAACAACAAGTACAATCACAACTTCCGCAATAGGTTCTGCGGTTGCGAGTGCGACTATGATCCGTTCCAACAGAAGGGTACAATGTTCCAGTGTCTTGGTCTCGGAACAACTGAAACAGGTGGATGCGGCGAAGACTGGTATCATCCAGGTTGTCTTGTTGGCATGGGACCTAACTGGTTCGAGAAGATGGAGAAGCCTAAGAAGGCAGCTAAAGAGAATGCTGACGAAGGCAAATTGACGACCATCACCGAGGGTAACGAAGAGCAGCAGAATTCTGCCGAGAAGTCTGGAGAGACGAACGGTACTGCCCAGCCTGCTGCTGAGGAAGAGGAAGAGGATGAAGACGTACCCATGCCCCCAGGATTCCCAGAGGAAGATGCCTTCGAAGCCTTCCTTTGTTACAGGTGTGTCGATGCGCATCCCTGGATCAAGCGCTACGCTGGTACTTCAGGCTTTCTTCCGGCAGTCTTCGTCAACCAAGCCGACTCAGAAACAAAAGTTTCAGCAGCCCCTGTCAAAGAGGAGCCTGCTACTGCTACTGAGCAAGCTCCTACATACGAGCCCGCCCAAGACTCGCGAAAGCGCAAGGCCGAAGATGATGCCGAGGAGTCTACAGAAGCTAAGCGTGTAAAGAGCGAGACCCTTCCTGAAGATGCAAAGCCCGCAGAGACATCATCCACAGATACACTCCCATGCAAGCTGAAGAATCTCCCTCCTGCCCCTCAGGGCCAGTTCTCGCTCTTCATGAAGGAAGACTTCCGCGAAGCCTTCTGCCGCTGCTCATCCTGCTATCCTAACCTTAACCCCCACCCTCAGCTCCTCGAAGAGGAAGAAGTCTATGAACCGCCTCTGTCCGACGATGGCTCCCAGGCAGGTGGTAATGGTGGTGGTTCACATGGCAGTGGCAGTCTCCTCGAGCGTGGCGAGAGCGCACTTCGCAATGTCGACCGCGTGCGGGCCATTGAAGGTGTCATGGCGTACAATCACCTCAAGGAGCGACTCAAGCCATTCTTCCAGCAGTTCGCTGAGAGTGGACAAGCCATTGGCGCTGAAGATATCAAAGCATACTTTGCCAAGCTGAGAGGTGATGAGCAGGGTATTCAGGAGGCAGCTGCTGGAGCCAAGGATGGTGAGGGTGGCGGTAGCGGTGATGGAGATCAGCGAAAGGAGCAGAGTGGTTATTAACCATTCGTGTTAGGGACATGAACATGAAGTTGATGCTATAAGGGTGAGCGGGGAGTTGACTGGACTGGATACACGGTTGGGTTATTTGATGTAAGAGTAGTGTACAACACAGGCGGCATACCATAATTTGATACCGGAAATGGGGTTACGAAAAATAGTATAAGATGATACTTAATCCAATACTTGACCAGTTTCTCTTTTAATGGCCACCATTTATGATCATGAACACCGAATTAGGCAAGATACCGCTTCATTCTTCGTGGCTCCTGATGCTCAGGAAAGCCATGCAATAGCATATTGCTAACACATAAAATCCATTTATTCCTATAGTACATATCCATTCATGTCTTGGGTATCGCTAAATCAAAACATTCCCATTTTTTCAAGTCGTCTCCGTGCCCTTCAAAAACTCCCCCCTACTGCCCCGTCGACCCTGTACTTGACGCCGCACTCGACGGCCGAGGTGGCAGCGCAGGTACACCATGCGAAGCCCCGGAATCCTCTCTCTGCATCGGAATACCTCCCATCATGCCCATCCCGATCCCCATACCCGGTAGCGGCAGCTGAGGCGGCGGACCCTGCCCATCACTATCCTCCGCCTGACTGTCCAGCTGCTCCTGCGCCGCCTTAAGGTCCAGTTCATGCAGCCTTTGCTTTTCAGCCGGATCGATAATATCATCATCGTCACTCCAGTATGGATCATCATCATCGAGTTCAGGCATAGCCATGCGCTTCCAGAACCGCAACTCCTGACGATGTGCCTTCTCATCGACGAGTTTGTTCCAGCGACCTTCGTCTTCGTCGTACTTGCGCCGGTACTCGCGGAGGCTTTCGTTGGCGCGGCCTGCGTGCGCTTGCATCTGCCAGATTTGTTCGCGAAGACGAGCGTTCTCGTCGCGTGCATCGGCGAGTTGCTTACGGTAGGAGCGGTGCCAGGCTGCTACGTCGCTGACGTGCTTTGTCTTGTACTCGTGGAATTGTCGAAGGAGGTTTGCCATGGCGTTGGCGTATTGCGAGAGGAGTTTGGCATTAGCGTCACGGCTGAACTTTGCCTTTTCGAGAGACTCTGTGAGGAGGGATACGAGAACGTCGATGTTTTGTTCTTGGCCTGGATAGGTTAGCTGTGGTTCAGCGAGTGTGAGATTGGGCACATGCCATTTATATCATCGGCAGCATTTTCAATGACTTGTGAATTGCTGACCCCCTGTGCCCTCGCCCTGTTCCTCACTCGTCCTAAACCATTGACAATATCTTCTGTAACTCTTCGGTTCTCTGCAAGTTGGCGGCTGAGCTCCTCAACCATACCATAGATGTAGTTAAGTTCAGCTTGGTGGCCCGCAGGCGTAGGAACAGGCATCCCGGCAGCCATGTTCGTCCCATTCATACCATTCATCATAGCGATCTGCTGCTGCTGCCACTGATGCTGCGGTTGCGGGGAGTGCTGCTGCTGTTGGTACTGTTGTTGCTGCTGGTAGTGACGCGCCGTAGACGTTGGAGATGGCACAGGCGCGGGAGAAGAAGGTGAGGATAATGATGGATCGTGGGGGTTCGGGCTTGGAGGCGCTTGAAAGCTCATGTCTTGTCCGCCCGGGAACCTACGTCTTGAGCGTTTGGAGGATGGTGTTGGTTGTCTTAGCCTTGTTTGTGGATGGAGCTGGATGCTTGATTTGGTATAGCCTAGCGGTTCCCCCCCCTCAACGCTGCGACACTTCACCAGCATTCGGAGGGGCGCAAAATTATTTTACCGATGACGGTGGACCTTGATTGACAACGATTGAAGAAAACCCCTGAACAAAAGATTGATAGAAGATGGAGTTTTTTGCATAAGACGAGTAATAATTTCAAGGCAAGGTCCTAATTCTTTAGCACTTCAAGACAAACCCCAATTGATCATATCTACTAGGGATGACATAACTTTAGAACATGGACCCTTATATTCAGGAACAAGCCATTCCCTGTACTATACAAAAGCAGGATCACTCATACTGGCAAGCTCGTTTGATTGTCTCTTATTTTGATCATTGACTTTTTGTATCCTTTTACATTTCCCATAACTCCAGCCGGATTGAACTCAACCCGTCAGGGTAGTCTTCATGAGAGGTCATCTAAGCGAGTGACTGCTGAGCAAGGTAGCGACCGTCACTACTATAAGAAAGGAAAGCTGTATAAAATCTCAGGTCATTTACTTCGTTTCGTCATATCGTTGAGTGCATTGCACTGATTCGTAACATGGGTCCTGTAGTCAGTCACCAAGCGCCAAATTTTTCTTTCACTCTGGAGTGTCAACCTCCATCCTGTCTTCTGAAGGCTTTGTATCCATGATCAAGGATTCTTCCGCCGGCTGTGAGGGTTCCAGTGTCGATGTCGATGTCAGAGTCGACTCTTTCTGTTCAAAGACAAGGGGAACAGCTGCGCTGCTGCCACTCATACCCCCAGTAACCCCGCCGCCTCCCATACCGTTGCTTGCCGACAACCGGTATTCGCCATCAGGCTTACGCTCAATGATACCCTCATCCAGTGCCCACTGGGCCAGAAGGCCATCAACTCCAAGCCTGCCACCTTCGCCTTTCTCCATGTGCCGACCAACATGTTCGGTCCATTCGTCCCACGACGATGGGCCTTCGAAGATGCTCTGGCAGCCTTGCTTTGGGCATGCTGAGCGCTGCGGTGGTAACCGACGCTGAACGAGACAAGACACCTGCATGTCCTTCACATGCGTATCCCACTCAGATTGTAGTTTACTATCGCCCTTAGCAATCGCTCTCTTAATCTGAAAAGGTGCATGCATTCGTCGCAAGTGTTGAGTGAACAAGTCTTTGCGATTGAACTCGTTGCCCTTGCCTTCTGCCGTGCTCTGGGGACAGGATGAACAACGATAGTACTGCAGACATAGATGTTGAGATGCAATATGTCGCTTCCATTCGTTCTTGGAGCCAAAAGTGCTGGTACAGCCAGCGAATGAGAACGCACATGGGAACGGCCTTGTATGGGCCGCAGCAATGTGTTTCCTCAATGAAGATGAATCCTTGAAAGGAGCATGACTGCAGTGGTTGCAACGCGTGTCCTGCTTGGGGAGCGACCGTCGTGGCGGCTTGGCTGCTGCATTGGCATTGTGAAGTGTTGCCAAAGGATCATCATTACTATGCTCCTCAGTCTCGCCCTCAGGTCTTATGTCAGGCATTCCGTCAGGAAGAATCGTGCGCGGCCTGTTGATATTTTGAGTTTCGTCGCTTCGATGCCGAACGTGGCTTAAGGCCTTCAACTGCTCAGCGGCTTCCTGCATCTCCGCAGAGTCCTCCACTTCGTCTTTCGGTTTGCCATGTCCACCTGCTGGGTTCGCATACGATGGGGCTGAAGGACTAGTTTGTGAAAGATGCTCCTTTCGCTCTACAGAATTGAGCGTTTCCCTCACGGCCGGGGAATGGAAAGTGATATCGTGACCTTCGTCTCGTCGAACACGTGCAGGCGTTCCATATGCATGGTCCCTTGCCTCTAGAAGAATTCGGCCATCCTCGACTTCTCTTGCAGATGGCTTGATACCAGAAGAACCTACAAGTCTGTGATACAAGTGAATCATGTTGTGAGAGCTTATGTACCCCAAGAAGCAACAAACTTTGTCGTGCTGGACCACGTTCCAAATGGAGTGGGGCATGGAGATAAGGAGCATTGTCGGCGGTCCAAGGAACATGCCTTCCACGGCGATTTTGTCGCCAAGGGGCGGTGTGCTTTGTAGCCATTGGGAGAAAAAGGACATATCTGGGCTAGCATCACCAACAAAGGTCGTACAAACGAGGACACGGTGCTCTTCAAACCTAAGGTCAACAACTGACTCTGGGTCAATGAGCTGTTCTTCGCGGTTCCCTTGGCCCTCTGTGTCGACTCCGTTCTGTGATTCTGAACGAGGTTTGATGGGCGTTGGCGCAAGAGCAATACTATGGCCCTTTCCAGGTGTCAGGGGCATAAAAACCGGATGATGTGGGGACGAATGTGTATTCGAGGTACTGCCATTCGTTTGCCGGGGAGTCTGAAACAGTTGCTGCTGCTGCTTCAGCGATAACACTTCCTCGTGGAGCTTCTGTGTCGTAAAGGGACGCCCACTACTGAGCTTTTGCAGCGCCTCGACCAAATTTGATGTAAAGGAGCGTTCTGTACTGTCTGGGCTACGATCGGATGTGCAGGCTGCTATGGCTTGCTTCACGCCGTGACTACCGGCCATGGGAGGATCCGGTACCGCGCATGTGTCCAACAACAAGAGGATATCGGACTGGGCATCCTCGAACAGGCAACGGACGCCATCCCATTTGAGTTTTGCAGCATCTTCTCGTGCATTACTATGGGAAAGCTGTCAGAGGCAGGAGGAAGAGGACATGTGAGAAATGTTCGACTCACCAAGCCCAAAAAAGCTGGCCATCAGAGCTTACGTAGCCCTGGCCAGCATAATAGATAATGAGCAGGTGATTGGCTCTTGCGTTCTCGAGAAAAGAAGCAATCTGAACTCCAAGCTTAATGCTAGGGTTCGGTACTGTGGGAATGTGCCATCGCTCAGTTCGGTATTTGTAGTGCTTCTGAAACACTTGCTCGAGTGCAGCCAGGTCTTCATCAACAGACTCGTCTTCTTCCCACCTTAATAGTAACACAGAAACGTCAGTGTATGGGTGACGTTCGGTCTGTCTCTGGATCAGCATAGCAGCATCCTGTAGATGCCGTGCAAAAGACTCAAAGTCATGTCGTTCGGAAAGAGGAGCTGCAGCCTCCTGAGCTGGATAATGTTGCTGAGGCTATATCCGGAGCCTGGGTTAGCAAGGACATGCGGAAAGCTGGAAATAAAAGCTGACCGATTCGTGAGGGAATTGTGTTGGCGGCGGCGGCTTGCTAGGAGTCGTGTTGACCTTAGGAGCCAGCTTTCGCTTTTTACTCGAAGGTTCCATCGGGCAAGGCTGTGAGTCGATGTAGATGCAGTCGTCAGCAGGTTAAGCCGGCGGAGGTCATTGATCAATCGAGGACGAATCGGCCAAGGGATCGAGCACGAAAGTTCCTGCTACCTAGTCGTTGGTTAAGAATCAATATCGTCGTAATTTCGGTATAATTGACGTCGAAAAGAAGTGAATAGAGACGGCGAAACAAAAATATACGGGCAGGCGAGGGGAATTGAAATCGAACGATGTGCGAAAACGTCTCGGCTGGTGAGGTCAGAAGGAGGGACAAGGTAGAGGCCAATGGCTACAGAAATGTGGAAAGTCAAAGCACGCCCACGAGGAAAGAGACACTCAAAGTCGCAAGAGGTGAAAGAAGAAGAAAATGGCAGAGGGAAACAGGTGAGGCTGGCTCGGCGAGGCTATCGTGGCCGACCTAGGCCCAGGTCATGGAAGATGGGTACAGTTGGTGCTAGGGATTCTTCATTGGCTATTAGCCGAGCAGAAATGCCACAGAGGAGAGCCAAACTGAAAGTGGCGGCCTCCGCCTCCACTTCGTCAGCCTCTCACCCGCCAAGAGCAAGGTCAAGTCAACGCGGACTGTACTGCTTTGCATTGCACCTCAGCGAGAGCCGGGTAAGATGGGGCTGTTTCGCCTTGTACGAACAACAAGAGCATACTGATTGTCTGATCATGTACTCACTTTTGAACAATTTCCCAGTATCAGGTTATTTCGCCTCACTTCGCTCAGCTCAGCAGCAAACTCGGCTGTCTCAGCAACTCCTGTGAGAAAAGATAAAGAGGTAGCTGGAACTACTATGGAAGGGTTGAACGTTGAACTGAGGGGGTTTGACGAATGGAACCAAAGATGGAAGGCTTCACAAAAGTTCTCAGCTGATAAAAGAAGGAGGAGGAGGTAGGAGAGGAAAAGCCTAGATCAGCATTATTTCCAGCGCCTTACCTACCTTGAGCTGCACAAATCATCCATGGCCAGCACAGCTAAAGTTCTCACACAACTCTGAACAACTGCCCAGCCAATCCGAGCCTCATGCTCCATCCCCCTCTATTCTCACAACACGCTACAGATTCACTGAGACGCATGTGGGCTGCGATAAGATTGACACATTGGGGAATGGTCGAGTCAAATCTGGAGTATTTTTTTTTGGAGTGAATCACTCTCATTGAGTTAACTTCACTCTCCGAACTCTGATAACGGCCTCTACTGACAATGTCCTCATTACCTGACCTACTTATCTCACCTGTATCGAGGTACTACAGTGTGTGAATTTATCCCAACCCACCTGAACGCTAACTACGACGAGACCAAGAGCACCGAGGCTGGTCTGGGGTCTGTCCTTTGTGGGCCGCTTATTGAGACCCTGAGATCTGTTTTGCAGTTGCAGCGTTTTAGCTCAAGCTGATCAGCTTTCTAAAGTTTCAACGGCGCAAGCCCCTCAATCGTCTACACCCAAACACTTGCTATCGTCCTCGGTTATCATTCGATTCATACTTCAATGTCACCATGGCATAACCAAATCGAAAGTATTGCAGCAATGAGCTTTCGGAGTGGAGAAATGGCGCACCCAACTCAACCCCCGGACGAGCCGTGTCGACTTGTCAACACGGCTGTGGACAGGACAGCCAGCAACAGCTGCTGCGCCGTGGAGGGCGAGTAGGAGAGCAGAACACGAAACAGCCGGGTCTTTGACGAATGAATGCAGCAGCTGGCGAGAGGGCCGCTCGGCAACCTTGTCCTAAGCATGCACAACGGTAACACTGATTGCAGAAGCACAGCCTGTGTCGCCAGTCGTTGTAGACCTTGAGCTTGCTCCATTATGCTCTTTGGCACGGGACCATGCAACCCGAAGCCTCCAGCGTAGATAGTAGATGTCTTGAAAGTCAATGGATTGGTCGCTCACATATGAGGCCATTGGGCTGCATAAGTGATAAGAATCACTTGCCTCGCAGCCTAGCATCCTGAGGTACGTCTGCAGATAGCAACCACAAAAGCAGAGCCTCGGTGTGGGCAGGGCTGACGCATCTAAACAATCCTATTGTTTGAGATGCAGCACGTATCCCTGTTGGTTCGGCAAAACTCAACTGCTCAAGTTGCATGTGGAGGAGGTTTTGTCTAACTATCGTCTAAGATTAGTAGAGAATAGCGAAGCCCCCGTCCATTCGCTGAAAGCGCGATGTATCCTTCTTTTCCTTTCGAATGCGATTATACCAACTAGTATAACGAAAGTGGAATGATGCTGACAGCTTCATTTGATACTCTGTAGGGTTCTGAAATAGATTCAGGTGGGTGTAAGTGGAGGCTGGCAGGCTGGGGGGAATCCAGAGCCTGCTGCAGTAAGCGGAGACATTGTATCTCCTCATTCTACCGTAATCACATCAGTTTGCATTCTTGACATTCCATTCCATCTTTGGGTGTTGCAAATACTTACTTAAGGAACACAAGGCCAGAAGGATTTAATCTACTTCTATTGTAAGTAACACCTCGCCAATAGGTTGATGAGTACAACAACCGCGTATTTGATCGAACTTCGTAAGCAAAATTGTTGAGCCCCAAGGTTGATTACGAGGTTGAATCCTTAACCCTCGTATCTCAGTCAGAAGATTCTCGACGAAAAGAAAGACCGCGCGTCTCATTCAGCACTCGTGTAAAGTAAAGATACAACCTTGGTGCCGTGTGCCGAAGATTGGGCGTACCGTTCAACTAATCCGTGGATTCCCGTCGAAGCCTAAAAAATCCAGGTACACCATGTAACTCGATGGAGGCAATTGTGGTTCTCTTGGGTATCACTTGGCTCCCTCATGGAGATTTCAAGAATCGGTATTGAGAAACCCAACATTCCCAATATGGAGACGAGATCGTTAATGTCCCCGATTCTAATAAGAAACCCTGAACAGTGACAACTGACAAAGTGGGCGAGGCTCGGTTGCAGGAGTGTGGCGAGCACAGCCACAATCTAAAGATCTACGCAGCCAATCAGAGCTTACAGCGAACTAACAATTTCCATCTTCGGTCGTTCTATTTCCGTGACTGTAAATCCCATCCCTTCTTGTGGGAAATGTCACTGATGGGAATATGGGCTTTCCGACGGAGCTGCCCATTCCCGTTGATTCGTTTCGTAGATCAAACGCAGGCGATTTATCTCTACAAACCACAAGCCAAGATCATCGAGGCAAAAAAAGCCAAAGCTTTTGGAACACGCCAAGAACAATCGATGGGCCCGTGAACGGGCGGGAGAGCATGGATGGTTGAAAAGAGAACAGCCAAGCTTACACAGCCACTCTCCAGCCGTCTCGTGTCTGCGAACCACATGGGACGGACGGGATGTAGAGTTTGTATGGTCATCGTTTCAGCCCAGACAATTGGATCTCATGATTTCTACGCGTACTGGACGAGCAGAGAGGGATTCAGCGATCATCATCTGCATCCCCCATGTCCTCTATTAAACGTGCAGTAGCCAGGAGAAATGTCCTGTGTCCAACCACAAGACAAGCCGCTGTCAGGATGTCGAGTGGCGCGTGAGTTTCCAGGCCAGGGCAAGTTCCCGTCGCCTCTGCAGTCAAAGACTCGAAAATTTACAGGGGTCGAGGGGCACCATCTCGCTGTTCCCAGCAGAGGCTTCCAAGATTCCTCCACTGACGAGCTTGACTCCCGCGCAAATCCGAGAGGTCCGCTCACTGTTGCGTCAGGGCTTCCAGGGATGATGGATCCAAAAATGGCTGCCCTGGGCTTCCATGAGGCGGGGCGACCTGCGTTACGTTACGTAGTGCAGACTCTTTAGTCTTGGGTTGTCGCTCACTGCCAGCCAAGAACTGCTCTGCTGAGAACTATGACTATGACTGCCTGGGCTGCCCACAATCTGCCTTACTGTACCTAGATCAATCAAATCTTGAGCTTTCAACTTCTCCAAAACATCAAAGACCACTCATCTTAGCCCACGCGGCGTGATCAGCTTCAACCTCTCTGAACACAACCGCCCACCTGATCTCGATAAGCGACAAGAGCCAAGACCTTCTACAGCTCACCAACAGTTGTGCGCGACAGTGACACCTTTGCAAACACCCAAATCGCCTGTATCTCATCTTTATTTACTCGATTGAAGCGCGAGCCGCAACACAACTACGTCCTCTGCGCCCATGGACTCCGGCGGAGTCAGAAGAAAGGATACCACCAAAGGCCCGCCTCTTCGAGTTCTATCACTCGGTAAGCGCCCGCCAAGATGACGTCTGCCTTGTTCGGTCTAATGCTAATACGCGCCAGATGGAGGAGGTGTCCGCGGTTACTCCATATTCATTATTATCCAGGAGCTTATGCACCGAACTTTTGTCGAGATCGAAGGCCGCGCTCCCAAGCGACACGAAATTCCTAAGCCATGCGATCATTTCGACCTAATCGTCGGTACTGGTACAGGCGGGCTGATCGCCTTGATGTTGGGTCGGCTGCGTCTTGACCTCGAGACGTGTAAGGAGCTCTACGTTCGTCTAACGCGCATGGTTTTCCAGACCGACAAGACTATTGCGGGTATTCCTTATAGATCAACCTTGTTCAAAGCCAGCAAGCTCGAGGAGGCTATCAAGGCAGCTGTACAAGAACACACTGTGAAGGAGAGGGAAGGCAACGATGGCTCAGATTCTCCCCTCACCAATCCTCTCAACGCTGCGATGTACTCAAGCGCCGGTGCCCCTCGCCGAAACCAGAGCAATGCAAGCACCGTTAGCTTTAGCGCTCGCAGTCCCGCTTCGCAAATGGCGTATCGACCTGCGTATAACTCGAGATACGGTGATCCTAACGCGCGCCTATACGACCATCGAGAAACCCGCACCAAAACGTGAGTCATCAACCTCAATTGCCTTCTCCCCATGACAGCATTGCTAACATATTTTCTAGCGCGGTAACAGCAGTTTACAAGGGTTCTCCTCGAGGTTCACCCGCCGCTCTTTTGCGATCCTACGATTCTCGAAAAGAACCTCCCCCCGAGTTCGACTGCAAGATTTGGCAGGCCGGTCGAGCCACTTGTGCGATCGGATTGGCCTTCAAGCCCATCACCATTGGTCAATCGGTTTTTCACGATGACGGTGTCGGCACTTTCAACCCTAGTCCAGAAGCCCTGGACGAAGCTGTGGTCAACGAATGGCCCGGTCGCGAAGTGGGTGTCTTTGTTAGCGTCGGTACTGGCAGACGGCCTAAGGGCAGCGATTCGAACTCGCAGGTGTGGTATGAAGGCTTCTTGGGCGATTTTGCCGAGGCGCGTAGGAAGTTGATCTCCAAGATCGAGGGTTGCGAGAAGATTCACGAGTACATGATGCGCGAGCACCTTGGAAGGCGAAATGTCAGTATTGACGCCTACTACCGCCTTAACGTGGAAGTTGGTGTTGGTGAGTTTGGAATGAATGAGTGGAACCGACTGGGCGAAATCAGCACTGGTACTCGACGGTATATGTCAAGGGAGGCCGAGCAAAAGATGATTCAGGGTATCTCTTCAAAGCTTGCCAAAATTCACCGAGCCAGGATCCGTCACGCACGAGCTCCCGAAGGAATCCCAGAACTTGTCAAGTCAACTTCAACCACATGGGAGATGCCTATGGCCTTTGAGCTTGCAGGAGATATTCCAACTACTGTTCCACTTCCTCACAGCCCCGCGAGCCGGTCTTCGTTCGAGTCGGGGTCAGATAGTTTGCATATCCGCAACAACAACCATAACGGTTCGCCACGAAGCTCCAACGAACGAATGCACGCAGAAACGTCTGTACCGCATAACGTTCCCAACTCTCCTCCCTTGGGACCTCGTGGCCCCAGCACCAGCGCTCCGGCTCTACATCCAGAGGATCGTTTGGCAGTATCATCACCTACACCGGCGCAGTACCGCGAAGGTGTGTCAGGCCAAGACTTGATCGCTATTGTGAGCCCAGACGAGTATCCCAGGCCACCTCCCAACATGGCCGCGCCGCCACCGACACGGATTGAACCGCCGCCGCTGCCACCAAAGACGCCTCTCCCGGAGAGCCAGCAACATCAAGGTCGAAGAGTGCCTGCGGCCGCGCCTCCTTACCCGTTAGACGATGACGAGCCCCCGCCCGTGAACATGGCCCGAAAGCCGGACTACCGGGGAAGATAAGCATATTTTGATGCGGCTTCCTCATGAGATGATCCCTGCAATTTGAGTTGGGGTATGAAAAATGACGTCTCGATTCTTGATACGAGCTCGAATCTACGAAAATCCATGAAATGAGACCTAGAACGATTATGAGACTGGCGTTGCGGGTGGAGGAATTGGTGATGATGTTTCTTGTTTCTTCTGCTTCTGCTTCTGCTTCTGCTTCTGCTTCTGCACGACTAGATACCACCTGGTTTTACTTGGATGCGAACCTTTGAATGTACTTGATGTTATGAAATTGATGGAAAGATGCTGGATTCTTAGCTGTATATCTGTTGGTCAATGTGGCTGTACTTGTATAATGGAAACTAGCTTTTTATTCATAACGGCTGCCTATTCTCTTCGGAGATATGAAGTTTAATATGGGATCTCTTGGAATTTTTTTGTCTCATTGTTTGATCAGCTGGTACTCGGAGGATTTGAGAGCTCTAAGATCGCCGGTAAGCAGATCTTCGATACGACAGCTCGCGGCAGCATCCGGCCCCCCACTGATTGTTCCCTGTCGAGGTCTAGGCCTTGATAGATCGCACGGTAGGTAAGAAAGTCGTAATAAACCCCTGTTTGCCTCTGGTCTATGACGAATATTCCTTCGAGGGATGTCGTAGGATTCTTATACGCTCTCTTACGATGTAACGCACGGTTCGCTCTTTTCATTATCAGCAGCTGTCAACTGAGACAATGGACTGATCACGGCTTACCACGAGGCAGCTGAAAGCTCGCCTTGGAGCTAAAATGAGAATCCATTCGCCCGTCCGTCGGTATTCGCGACTATGCTTGGCCGTTTTGGGATAGCTTCACGACTTAACCTTCGATTCATGGTTGAGCTTGTCGTCTTTAATTGGAGAGTTTGTAGCAAACGTTTCTGGCTAGGGCGTGTTAATCCAAGTTCGAGACTCGGTACGATTGCCATCACCACGAGAAGAGGTGCATAACAGCATCACCATTGCTGGGTTTGGGTTCTCTCTCTCTTCCAGGCAACTTCTTCTCTTTGTTCCATCACATCCGCTAGAAGGGAGGGGGGGAAAAGCAAGCAAGCGTATTGTCACTGTGATCGGCACCCACGGAAAGACACGCGGACCCTGGTTCGACATTTCTTTGTTCTAGTTTTTGCTTGGCATATTGTCAAACGCCTCTGAAGAATTGAGAGTTTCTGTCATCTTCAACGACGGGAAAACAAGACAGGTTCTTTTCTTCGATACTGTACTGGGGGTGACATTGCATCGATATTGGATCTTTCAACAACCCGCGTATCCAAAGGAAGAGAAGAGAAGAGGCGAGAGGAAGAGACTCCCAGCATCCACGCAACTTTGCGCCAGAGACACGCATACTGCACTGCAACCAGACAATCCCTCCCTGGACCAGGCCTGGGAAGAAGGACACAGGCTACAGCCTACAGCCGCCCGTTGCCGCGTTTGGTCAACAGGCAAAGGACGCTCGGCCTCGCGCTTGAATTGAGATTAGATATATTCCCATCTGTTCTCTCTCTTCCTGTCTCTGTTCCTCTTGAGGAACAAACATGGCTCTCAATTGAACCCCTACAACATCGGGCATCTCAGTCATTGAGCCCAAAAAAAAGACACACCCATCTTCTTTTCTCCCTGCAGTTTGCACACACAAACTGCATCTTCGATTTAGAACCAACAACCATCCGCCGCAATCCTGGTTGACCCCTGGCCTGTCGTTGAACCAACAACCTCACTCAGTGTCTCTGACCGGTTCTCATTTGGGAGTGCTGAGCCAATCAATCGCTTGAACGACGTCAAGGGGACACCAAATATTACCAACATAGATCGCCTGTCATTCTCGATTTGATCATTTTCGGGGTATTGCAAAGCGATAAAAAAGGAAATCGCTAAAGTTGTTGGTGGAACGATGATGCCGGTACTAGGAGCCACGCCGATGCAAGTCGCACCTCGACAACGAGCTCCGCGACAAACGTCATCGTGCCTTGAATGCCGTCGTCGCAAGCAAAAGGTGGGTTTTCTTCATTGAGGACTTCTCAATTGAAGTGGTATATCTTTGGTCTTTTCAGCCTAATTGTTTGCCACCGTCATGTTAAGCGAAAGCCAGATAAACCCCGACTAACATGCTTATAGTGCTCTCAAAGTCAACCATGTACAAATTGCTTTCGTCGGTTTCCCTCACCTGAATGTATATATGAAGTCAAGTCTTCCAAAAGGTTAGTGTATTTGACCTACCGTGGATGAACCCTCCATCATTGCCCTTCCAGGATCTCTCTTCTACAGCGACTAACATGCTCTAGACATCATCCAATAGCTTCACGTCCTAAGCCACCTCTAGTGGTAGATGTACGAGAAGGCCCTTACTCACATCTCAACCCTGCGTCTATCCAAGACGCTCTCTATTATCTCGAGGATGAAAGATCACCATCTTCCTCGGCAACTAGTCCTAGCACATCCGTCGCCACTTCAGCTACACAACCACGAACTGATCTATGGTTACCTTACAAGATTCAGTCATCAGCAAATGGTGACGACGACGACACCATAGCTCAGTCTGTCTGGACCATTACGGCAGAGAGCACCACAAAAGCCAAACTCAATTATTCTAAGGAACGGGTCACAGAGATCTTGGGGTCTCAAGATCACGATGAGCGGTACAATATGCTTCCGCCAGTTGATGGCTCTGCAGTGCAGCTAGAGTACCTTCCCATGAAACCTACCAAGCTAAACAAAGAGTTAGTACGCATTCGTAAGTTACGTTTGTCATTTCCGTCTACTTGTTCACTAATGCGTGTGGTCTAGACTTGCAATTACTCTCACGTTTCAAATGCGCAGTTGACGGTAACCCGGATCCTGCGAACGAGTTCATGAACTTCTGGATTCCCTGCACTTTGCAAGATCCCCTCCTTCTCCAAATCGTCTTATTTACATCATCATGCTGGTTGTCCGAAACCCGTTATCTTCCCAAGGCTTTGCAATACGCACATAAGCACCAGGTTTATCGGATGCTGAATTCTCAGCTCACGGACCAACAAGCACAGACGAGCGATACTTTAGTCCTTGGTGTTGTCCAGATGATTGCAGACTCTTGGTACTGGGGCGCTACGCATGATTTAAAAGCCCACCTTAGTGGTCTGAGAGGGATGATCAACCTGAGAGGTGGACTGTCTCAGCTCGGTTTGCGTGGTTATCTGGCCAAGATGGTCCTCATGTAAGTTGTTGCACAGCAGTTGCCAAGAGAATGCTGCAGCTGCGGTACCTTGATCTTCGTCATACAAGAATCTGACGTGGTACAGTCACGACATCGTCATGGCGCTCGCACATGAGATCAAGCCATCCATGTATGGACATCCCGGCTTCGAGTTCCGAGATTCTCGTACCATGCCCTTCAAAACGGCCTTCAACACCCCTTTTATTAGCAACTGGCAATCTTTCAGAGAATGCTCAAATTCTCTACAATTACACCCAAGCACTGCCCAAATACTCGACGACATGAGGAGCTTGTTCTCAGCCGTTCTAGCTTTACCAAGAAATCCAAGTTCTGAACACGTCCAAAGGGTTCTCTCAACGGCTCATTGGTTTCATGAGAGGATCTTGGATCTACCGGAAGATACACCAGCTCTTCAATCTCCAAGACCTTCCCAATCATCTCGAGCAAGCTCGATCGAGAGCCCAGGCAGTTCGGCGGGATCACTTAGAACTGACAAGTCTTCATCACCCTTCGTACTTCCAGACATGGTGTATCGCGTTATCCGCAAAGTGGCCTTGATCTACTGCAAAGCAATCCTTAATCGTTCCCCAATCAGCTATGCGTGTTCTGAAGAAGACATTCAAGCGATTTGGCTATCGATTTGGCAGTCCGGTCTGGCAACTTGGAAATCAGTTCTCGGTATCTTCGCATGGGTCATGATTGCCCTCGTGACCAATTGTCACAAAATTGGTCCTGGCCGTCTCATCAAGACCTTTACCATGTCTACCATGATGTCCATCGGGATGGAGAACTGGGACGTCTTCAATCATATAGCGAAGACTTCCTTCAGATTACAAAGATGGCTGGCAGGAGGACGCGATGATACAAACGACCTTATGGGAGGAGAGAAAGTGGTGGACAAATATGGCTTTGGGATGATGGGCGCATTACCACCTGTCGATATACCAGCTGATGTGGCATCATCAGAAGATATTTAAATATGTGCAGGCCTCGGCTCTGCAACGCACAAAGTTCCGCCTTCAGTCACATGCAGATACGAGCAATGAATGGTCTCTAAGCGCGGAGATCATATCCGTTTAGATGTTCAATGACGACATGTCTCAGCTCAAACAATTGTGAGACCATTAAAAGTGTCAAATACTCGCCTTCTCCTCGAATAATTTACAGGCTGCTCGTCCCTCTCATGCCGCTTCTTACTACCTGAAGAGGGCAGTCCACAAAGTTGCACAACGCCGAATTTGGTTATTACGTGGTACAATGTACGATTTCACTCCGCTTCGAGGCAACATACCGAATGGCGATGTTCTCTTGCCAGGAGATGATGGCTATGAGGAAGTGCTGCAAAGATGGAGCGCGGCTTGCGTGAAGAGAGCAGTATGTCAAACGCGTCGACATCCTTCACGATACTCACATAGCATAGGCCGTTGTTATCTTACCGATTAACTCACGAGAGGTATCTGCGGCAGTCAAATTTGCAGTTTCGAATCAAATACCGATGACGGTATGCGGTGGTGGCCACTCATCCAGCGGCGCCTCATCATCCGAGGGAATGGTCATTGACTTAAGAAAGATGCGAAAGGTCAAAGTTAACGCAGAAGCTATGACCGTCGAGTTCGGAGGGGGCTGTCTATGGGAAGATGTTGACACAGCCCTCGAGCGGCATGGTCTGGCGACAGTTGGAGGTGTCGTCAATCACACAGGGGTTGGAGGACTTACACTCGGGGGAGGCCATGGTTTTCTCACACCTCGACACGGTCTTACCATCGACAACCTGTTGAAGGCGGAAATTGTTCTTGCAGATGGGATGATATTCGAAGCATCCGACGACACAAACCAGGATCTGTTCTGGGCTATTCGAGGCGCTGGTGCACAGTTTGGAGTCGTAACTCGCTTCGTATCTCGAGCTCATCGACAAGACAAAGTCTGGAGTGGAACGTTGGCGTACCCGGCTGATAAGCTACCTGACTTGCTGCGCTTTGCGAATGTGTTGTATGAAAGACCGAACCCAGATGGGCATTGCTTCGCATTGGGCATTGGCTTTGGACCTGATGAGACGAGCCGTGTCGTGTCCGCTATCCCTTTATTCCACGGTTCGGAAGAAGATGCCAAGCAATGTTTCTCTGGTCTCCTCGAGATAAAAGCAACAGCTAACAATACGGAGATGATGACGACGGCGAAGACGAACACGCTCCTCAACTCCGTAATGGATTACGGCATTCGACGACTCATGGGCTCAGGCAACATCACAATGCCCCTTGATATCGAACCAATGCTACAAACAGCAGAAACATTCTGGGAATTCTGTGAATCACGCGACGGAATGGGCAAGTCTGTCTTAGCAATTGAGTTTTTCCCAACAGACAAGATTCGTGAGATCCCCCAGGATGCAACAGCCTACGCCAATCGAGGAGACTACTACGACGCCATGACTTCTTTTGCATGGGAGAACCCAGCCTACGATTCAGAGATACGGCAGTTCAATAGAAGCCTCTGTGAGAGGATACGGGAGACGAATGGGTATTCAGCTACAGCGGGTGGACACTGGAGCAAGGGGCCTGTGGGGGTGTATATCAATATTGAGGCTGATAGTATATCGCCCAAGGATGCTTGGGGCGTAAATCTGCACAGATTGAGGGAGTTGAAGAAGAAGTTTGATCCGAATAACGTGTTTAATAAGTGGCATAGTATTGCTGAGGATACAGCTGGGACAGGGTAATGAGATTGAACAGAAGCCATTCGAGATATTATGGTGAATGAAATGAGACTACCGTCTTAACAATTTGAGCTTGAGGATTGTTCGTATAAGCTGGAATATAAGCCGTATTGCATTTCCGTCAAGAAGTAACTTATGTCTTCTTGGTCGTGCGTGGGTCTTGCGACGTTCGATCAGGAAGATTTGGCTGATTCTTTGTCGCTATCGACGGAGTAGCATGACACTTTTATCTATCCGTACATGAATGATAGCACTGACATTCTATTTGGCCTGGCCTGATATCATTCTGCTTCAATTGTACACACCAGGCTGGTGCTATGGTAGAACATGTCAGTCTCCAGAAAGCTTACCCTAGGCCTCCCCCTCTGACTTGCAAGATGAATGATTCCAACTCTCTCCTGTAAAAATTTTTCCTTGGCACCCGCTGTTAGCGTTCTGCTAGGGCAGAAAAGTTTTACAGGCCAAAATGGCAACAAATGCAGCTGCGGGACTAGCGGGACCCTAACAGCTGCTGGAAGAAAGGGATTCGGAGAGTTGACCTTTCTTCGTGACAAGTGTTTTCAACGGCACTGAGCTTCGCGAGCTTTTGACATCGCCTCCGGGCACCATTTCATTTGTCTTATCTGCGACTTCTTCTCACCTCGACATTTCGGCTTCGCGAGCCTGCGACATTCCGGCCTCTGTGCCCCTCGACTTCCCGTA